AATTTGGTATTATTATATTATATTATGCTGTATTATTTGAATTAGCCATTATTTATCTAAATAATACACTTTGATAGGATATTTAAGTTTTTTAATGTTTTTACAAACCTATTTTTGCAATCATCTTTACTCGTTCCTTCCAGCCATTTTCCATAGAACTAATTATTGAAGTGAGATTTCTAAACTAAATGATGTGCAAATATTTAACACTTCTTTATTTGCATATCTTTTTAAATTTATACAAGTGATTTTACTTGTTTACTTTATACATTTTTAGAATGCATTAATCACACTTTGAGAGATAATGCACAATATTACTCCATTTTTCTGAATGTGTTGCTGATTTTTTAACATGGGTTCTAAAATTTTTCCTGATAATTAATTATTACAATGAAATAAAATTTTGTTCTTTGCTAACCTTTTCTGATAAAATACTACAGTCATTTTTATTTTTTCATTACTATTAAAATGTTCTTCATCTCTAACTTAATTTTTAGCCATTTTTTGCATTTTATGTGATAAGTCACCACATAGAAATATTACAGCCATCCTAATTAAAAATTTATAGTATTACATGTTAAAATCTCAATACAACTTTCTACTGCTTTAGAATATAATTGAAGTATATGCATAACTTTAAATAGTTTTTCACCTTGTCATAACAACATCATGAGCATCACTTCTAATTTTAGAAATGTAAGCGCAATACAAAGAAACTAACCACCTTTATTTGGTTTGTTTTCAAAGGTATTAATTAATCTCCGCAATCCAAATTATGAAAATGGTGATTCTGTTAGTTTCAGGAGTCATTTGGGTTTAATCCAACTTCCTCTGAAAGTAAAAGACATCCCTGAATTGGTAAGTATAAATATTTAAACATAATTTAGTTTATCATCTATGAATATAGAATTACACTAGGATAATCAGAGCTACCTAAAGGACATTATGTTGTTGTTGATGTTGTGTGCTGTTGAGTTGCCTGCGACACATAGCGACCCTATGTACAACAGCTCTAAACCTTGCTCTATCCTGTGCAAATCTCACTCTTCTCCAGCACACCTAACCCCATTCCTGAGTCACAGAATCAATCCACCTCATAGAGGTTCTTCCTCTCCTGCACTTCACCCTCCCAAGCCTGATGTCCCTCTCTAAGGACTGGTCCCTTCTTGCAACATGCCCAAAGTATGTCAGACAAACCTTCAGAATCCTTGCCTCCAGTATAAAGGATATTATACTGAGTTGAAAATCATACAATAAAGACAAATATTATATGAATTCACTATCAACAACTTTATGAAAATTTAGAGAAAGGTTTATATACAGAAATGAACAGTCTTTGATAGTTAACAGGGATGGAAGGAAAGGGAGGGGGAGAGAAAATCAATGATTAGGTCATAGACACTAACATGAAAAGGAAGAGGCAGTATACAATTAGGGAGTGTGCAGGACAGGATCGCTAGAGAAAGGTGAGGTCACAGAGAGGGGCCGGAGAGGTAAGTAAGTAACAAAGGTGCACATGATTTGCAGGATCCTGTACTTCATTAATCACAAGCTGTAAAAGAAAAATAAGGGGTTTGAAATCCTACAGTAGCAGTCTGTACAAAGTGTTATGGCTGATCAGAAGAGGAAGTGGCAGATTCGTAAGAAAGGGAAGTCTTCTCAGATGTATTGTCATTTGTTCAAGGCCTTGAAGGATGCTGAGGAGTGTGCTAGGTAAAGAAGCAGGCAAGGGTACTGTGGAGAAGGCTCAGCATGTGTGTGTGTAGAACTAATTATGCCTTCTTTCTGTCTCAGGGGGACCTTGAGTTCATGTGGGTACGTTCTTAGCTACTGGAGAACTAAAAGCTAATGGCTTAATTATCAAGAAATTATGACTATATAGCAAGAAGATGCACTGCAATCCCGGAGGTGTGCGGTTCAAATCCACCAGTTGCTCTGCTGAAGAAGGAGGAACAATCTCCTCCTGTACCAGTCAGATCTGATTTGACGGTACACACAAAAATAATAAAAAAAAAAATTAAAAAAAGAAATTATGATTATATCTACTAAGAGTGTGATTAGCTCTCCTCTTCCTGCAGACGTTAAGGATAGTTGTTCCTACCTTCCTTTCATTATTTGGCCTGACTGGTCAGTCAGTTGTTCTAACTCCAGAACACATGGTCTATCTTTGACTGTGGCCTGTTGGTTTGAGTATTCAAATTGATCAACTTCACTGATTCCCATGATGGGTTGCTGTAAAATCCAATTTACAATGTTATGTACATGGTTGCTATTGTTGTTATATGCTGTTAGTTGGAATGAACTAAAAGAGCTGACCCTCTAGCAGATTTTTCAGAAGGTCTAAATGCATGGGAAAGGTGGTTGCCTCTCTTTGTTCCATGAAGCAGCTGGTTGATTCCAACTTCCTGCCTTTAGGTAGGAAGTTAGACTCCTTTCCCCATTAGGCTACCCGAGTTTCCTGTTATATAGATTAGACTGTGTTGAAAAGAAATGTTTTGAAACTGAAATCTATTAAATTGGAACTGCTAATTCAGTTCCATGGAGACCACAGATTGGGCCTAGAACTCAATATTGTGGTTCATTAGTTACACAGCCTCTCTGTTATGTGACAGTCATGATGCTAAGTGCTGAGGGTATACATATATATAAGAGAAGATCCTTCTCTTCCAAGAGCTTGAGGCTAATGGGAAGATAGGCAGCAAAAAAAGCATTCCAGTATGCTGTGATTATTTAATAACAATGTTTAAGGTGATAAAAGAGCATAGAGTTGGATGGACTGTCAAGGAAGACTTCCCCAAAGGCACAATGCCTTGGGTGAGTTTTGAAGTAAATCTAAGATTAAGACCCAGATCTGGTGATGCTGAGTGAAAATTAGCCCAGAACAGTGAAGTAGAAAACAGATGTTGAGAGTTCAGCTTGTGCTTTTAACATGTTCTAGCACTAAGGACAGTGTCCATTGTCCATCTTGATTACAGAACCGCATGGGGAAGTGCTTATTGAACTGAATTTCTTTTTGGGGTATGAAAATCAAACTTGGTGCATAGAGGGAAGTTTCTCTTTAAAAATCGGTAATGTTGGATGCAATCAGCACTTTTCACAAAAATAAAAATCAGATTTAGTTTAATGAATGACACTATAATGGTGATTATATTAAAAATATAGTAAGTGAGGCTGGGTAACTGTCTCATAAGGGACGTTAATAAATCACTTACTTAAAACAGTAATAGGTAATTGGGAAGGATTAAAATCTAATTTTATTTTTTTAGGGAGAAGGAAGTAGGGTTTTAGCAATTAGAAAAGAAACAAAACACTAAAGCAAATATTAATAGAAATATTTAATTACTCAGGGAATAAAAATAATGTGAATGATGTAGGAATTTTACATCTAAAAAATACCAGACACCATGATTACTTTTCCCAGACATTACTGGATAAGTAGAGGAAGTCTGGAGAATAAATTTAATCTATCCTTGTTTTAACGGAGTACTTGAGTCCAGTTCTACCTAAAAATTAAGTTGTCTTAGATATTTGCAGTGTTTATTTTATTAAGAGCTGAATGAAGTACAGTACCATAGAAAGCACAGCTACAGATATAACTATACTGGTAATGTTAGACAGTTTTTAGGAGATAAAATTGACACTTGTTACATATAATGTTAGTGGTAAAAAAAAGAGTACTGAATATACCATCAACTGTTATAGAAACAGATTGATCTTGGAAGAAGTGTAAACATTGTCTTGCATACTTTGGTGAAATTAACAGGATAGAACAATAGAAGTTGGACATTGTGCTTGGAAAAGTAGAGAGTTGGCAAAAAGAATCAAGTCCTTGCCTTAATGAGATGTATTGACACAAGTAGATGTAACAATGAGCTCAAGCTTGGCACCAGTTTTGAGGATAGTACAGAACTGGGCAATATTTTGTTCTTTGTATTAGTCAGAACCAACTTGACAGAGCCTTAACAACAAAAATGTGTTGGTGGCACAGTAGTTAAGTGCTCAGTTGCCCCTCACTAGCTGTTCTGCAATAGAAGGATGTGTCAGTCTGCCATTGTAAAGATCTACAGCCTTGGAACCACTATGGGATGACTCTCCTGTCCTGTTGGGTTTCCATGAATCAGAATTGACTTGACAACAATAGGTATGTAAACTGGGTGAGATGACTGTATGTATTCATGAGCGTATGCATGTGTGTGCTGCAGGAAAGGATTGCACATTAGAGTCATTTACTCAAAAAGCATAGTTATTCCATTCCTTATTGGTAGGGGAAATCTGCTACCTAAACAGAGGCTGTAAATCACTCGAGAGGAGATTGCCTGTATTTCTCCTAAAGAGCAGCTGGTGGATTTGAACAGCTTGCCTCTGGATTGGCAGCACAACTTCTTACCTTCTAGATTACCAGAGTTCTCTACACAAAATAAAGAACTATTTAAAATACGATTTAAAAATAATAGCAGTCCTTGCATTGGTTAAAAGTCACCAGGAAAAAAAAGATGTCACTAAAGGCTGCACACTTGAAGGAATGATTTTTGGTGGCTGTGATACTGATGTGCACATGGTGCACAGTGTTTGGTGGAGCTCCCTGATTAAAACAAGCTCGGAAGCAGGAGTGGCATTCACTTCTGAAATAGCTTGCCTCCAGAAACTCTATGAACTTGGAGAAACAATGAAGTTATATAAATGTTCAGATTTTTCGTTCATAGGGCCGCTATGAGTTGACTCAACAGGACTTAACAACAACAATGGTGAGAATCTGTGGCGTAATCCTGAAGATGCAGGGTTCAAATCCACTAGCTGCTCCATTGGAGAAGAATGGGCATTCTCCTCCCATGTAAGGAGATAACTGCCTCTGAAAACCTACTGGAGGGTCAGCGCTATGGGTTGGTTCCAACTCAATGATAAACAACAACTTTTATAAAATTTTTATTTTAGTGGATGTTTACAGAAAGAATGAGTTTTCATTCATTCACATTTTTTTCTCTCTCCCCAATTCAGTTTTGTAATGTGTATTTTATTTCAGATTGTTAATTGTCATACATATAATGTCTAATCATCCATCCATTCATTTCAGATAGTCCCTTTCTTCTCTTAGTCCAGTGCTATGTTCATTATCTATCCATTCTTTCCCCGCTGCTCCTCCCCTGTATCCATCCTATTTTTAAAACAGTGGTCTTATTCAGTATTTGTCCTTTTCTAACAGAGATATTTCATTCAGCGCAATGTTTCCAGACTCACCCATGTTGTGTTGTGTTATGTTTAACAAGCACATTATTTTTCACCACTGTGTAATATTCTATTGTGTGGATGTACAGCAAGGTTTCTATCCATTTGTAAATGGGCACTTGAGCTGCTTCGATTTCTTCACTATTGTAAGTGATGTTGTGATAAACATGGATGTGCATAGATCTGTTTGTGTAATAGCCCTCGTTTATGTAGGATATATTTCAAGTAGTGGGAGAGCTGGGCCAAATAGTATTTCTATTTCCAACTTTTTGAGAACGCAGCAGACTGCCTTCCATAGTGTTGCATTCCCACCAGCAGTGAATGAGTGTCAATCTCTGAATGGCCTTGACATAATTGTTCTTTGCTATCCTGTTGAACTTTGCTATTGTTGCTGGGATGAGATGATACTTCATTGTTGTTTTGATTTACATCTCTCTGATAGCTAGGAATTTTGAACATTTCTTCATGTGTTTGTTGACTGTCTTCATTAAGTAGCTATTCATATCTTGTGCCCATTTTGTAATTGAGCTGTTTGCCTTTACTACAGTTTTACTACTGAAAATAACCCCAACAAGATAGGCGGCATCACACCCCTTGATCTCGAATCCTATTAACACAGCCAGAGGGATCAAGAGAGCATGGTGATAGTACAGTGACAGAAAGGTAGATCAATGGAATATAATCAGGAACCCAGAGATCACTTTTTTCTGTGGGAGCCACCGGGTTGAGAGGAGCATGGCCTTCTCTCCCAGCCATGGTGTGTGCTCGTCCACTGATAATCCGTGTACTCAGAAAAGGGAGAATCATCTGGCAAACATGTTGCTCTGCCAGCTGTGTTCAAGGCTCCCACTCGGCCCGAAAAACAACAGGCAGCCCTATGCCGTCAGCAGATTGGCAGGTCATCAGACCAGTGCTGAGTCTTGGGGTACGGGTAGAGCTGTGGCTCGAATTCCCAGAGTTAGACATGGTGGGACTCATCGCCCTTGCCAAGGTGCTTTTGGAAATATGTGTCGTGGAGGCTGCATGTTTGCACCAACCGAAACTTGGTGGCGTTGGCACGTTAGAGTGAACACAACTCAGAAGCGCTATGCCATCTGCTCCTCCCTGGCTGCCTCGGCCTTGCCTGCACTGTTCATGTCAAAAGGTCATCATCGTACTGAACTTCCTTTGGTAGCTGAAGATAAAGGTGAGGGCTACAAGAAGACCAAGGAGGCTGCCCTGCTTCTTAAGAAACTTGAGGACTGGAATAATATCAAAAAGGTCTGTGCCTCCCAGCGAAAGAGAACTGGCAAAGGTAAAATGAGAAATCGACGTCGCATCCAGTGCTGGGGACCATGCATTATCTATAACAAGGATAATGGTATCATCAAGGCCTTCAGAAATATCCCTGGAATTACTCTGCTTAATGTAAGCAAACTGAACATTTTGAAACTTGCTCCTGGTGGGCATGTGGGCCAATTCTGCATTTGGACTGAAAATGCTTTTCGAAAGTTAGATGAGCTGTATGGCGGAACCAGCTTCCCTCCAGAGCAACTACAACCTTCCCATGCACAAGATGATGAATACAGATCTCAGCAGAAACTTGAAAAGCCCAGAGATGCAGAGGGCCCTCCAAGCACCATGCAAGAAGATTCATCGCAGAGTCTTGAGGAAGAACGCACTGAAAACTGAGAATCATGTTGAAGCTTAATCTGTATGCAAAGACCATGCGCTGAAATACCATTCTTCGCTAGGCCAGGAATCACAGACTCCGGGTGGCTAAGGCGGCTAAAGCACTGGAGGCCAAATCTGTAAGAAGGAGGCTCCTCCAGGCAAGAAGCCTGTGGGAGGGAAGAAGGGAGCAGAGAAAGCTGCTGTTGGTGTGAAGAAGAAGCCCAAGAAGCCTTCAGTGGGAAAGAAGGCTGCAGCCACCGAGAAACCAGCAGTTGCGAAGACACAAGTAGAAAAGAAACCTGCCACAGAGGAAAAGAAGCCTACAGCATAAACTCAAATCCTCCATTGGGACAGCTTATTTTAAATAAATACCTAATCAAAAGGCAGTTAAAAAAAAAAAAAAAGAACCCAGAGATCAACTCATTTACCTGTGGTCAACTGACCTTTGATAAGGAAACAAAATCAGTCAAGTGGGAAAATGACAGTATCTTTAACAAATGATGCTGGCAAAACTGGGAAACTGAAGCAAGATTCACACCTCACACTATACACAAAATCCAACTCAAGGGGAATCAGGGCCCTACAAGAAAAACCAGGCTATAAAGTTCATCGGTGAAAACCTAGGAACAACTCAGGAATCCCTAATCTAAGGCATAAATAGAATTTCAAGTATAATGGAAAAACCTACTACCAGGAGAGGATAAACTAGATTAATGGAATCTTCTAAAAATCAAATCCTTATGCAAATCAAAAAACTTCTCCAACACATTAAAAAGGAAGACCACAGACTAGGAAAAAGTATTTGACAATCACATATCTGATAAGGGACTCATATCTAAAACCCATAGAACAAGAAAAAGGATTATGATATTTTAAAGTTTTTACATAAAATATATATATTAGTTTTTCCTAAATGTTTATGTCTTTCATGTTTATTTCACATGAAAATAGTAAATGTTACATGTTATGTTGTTGCTAGTATACCTGTAGTAAAGAAGCATGTTATTCTATTTTTTTAGATGTGTAAAAATGCTGTCTTTTTTAGATATTTGGATGAAGCAGAGATTTATTTTATATTGTGGTTTTTATTTAAGCTGACATTTACATGAAGGTGATTTTTAAAATAATGTGTATTAAAGTATTTTGGTTAGTTGTTGTTAGGTGCCATTGAGTTGAGTATGACCCGTAGTGACTCTATGAACAACAGATTTGAAGCCTACCCACCTTGTGCCATCCTCACAATCTCTGACACACTTGAGCCCATTGTAGTAGTCACCGGATCAATCCACCTGATGGGCGCTTGGGCTGCTTCCTTCTTTGGTTGAAGGTCTTCCTCTCCTTCGCCGTCCCTCTCTACCTTACCAAGCATGATGTCCTTCTCTAAGGAATAGCCTTTCCTAGCATCCAAAGTTGAGCTGTATGTTAAAAGAGTATGAGTTGCATGTCAAGTCTGTGCATATTATTTTTCAGAAAGAATTCTTTGTAGAACTTGGCTTAAATACAGGACAACTGGGTATAGATGATTCTACACAAGTGCCTCCTGGTAAGTATTTCTTCCTTAGGGCATATAGTTCACGATAAAGTTCTTTTTAGTTTACTTTTTTGCCTTTCTTTGGGTTACAACCAAATATGTAATGGAAACCTGTATTTTATAACTATCAGAGTTCAATTTTATAAGCATTTTTTTATTTGAAAGTTTGCAAAATAACTTTCAAAAGTTATCTGACACGTGTAAATGATTTTGTTTGGAAAATCTGCATTGAGAACACAGGTGTTTCCCTTTTGGAGCTCTGGTGGCCTGGGCCCAAGGGAGCTGCACTGACCAAGTGCATCTGACGTTAGCCTCTCACATGTTTAGAAGTCTTTGGGTGGCTCCAGCAGTAAAGCACTTTATTATTGGCTGGAAGGTTGGCTGTACGATCTACTCAGAGGTGCCTCCAAAGACAGGCCTGGCTATGTATGCAGTTCTACTCTATATCCAGAGGCTTGGAATAGGCTCCACTGCAGCCAACCATATGCGTATGGTCAACATAGGGTCAGCATTAGGAGATACACTTTTTCAAACTGGTTGGACCCATTTACACTCCCACTATCTTTATGTGATAAATCCATTTGCTGCATGTTTTTTTTTTGCATTTTGACTTGCCATTCTTTCATTGTAGCCATTGTGATGCGTAGTATTTCTTTGTAATGATTTGATTTGCATTTCCCTGGTGACTTCACGTGCTTGTGCTTAATCACTTACTCAAATATTTGTTGGCTCTCTCTTTGACTTCTCTGACTCTCTTATCTGTCAAGTTCTTTGATGATTTCTTCTCCCACTTTAAGACTTACTTTTCAATTTCTTAAAGAGTGTCTTTTTAAAAAAAATTATTAATTTTAATAAACATTTACAGAGATTTTGTATTTCATGCATTCTTTGTTGCACTTTTTTCTTTACCCTCCTCCCCCCAGTTCTCTCCTCTCTTTGAAAAGCAAAAGATAAACTTCTTTGTTGGTACACAATCCCACCTTACCTCAACCCCGACCCTGCCCCACTCCCTGCCCAAATGCACTCCACTATGCAACCTTAATTCTGGATTCCTGTGATAGTCATAATATGCTATCATATATCACTTTTAAACTGTTCTTTCCCTCATCTGTTTCAATTCAGTATGTTTGAAATATGGCCTAGTTTATGAGTCTTTTTACATTATAATTGGCACATACTATAAATGAAGTTACTTTTCCTCTAACCTTTTAAAATGGCATTTTTATAGTGGATTTTCACTTATATTGTATTGGGATTTTGCTTAGGCAAATTTTAATAGTAGGTTAAAGTGGAAAGAGGACTATGCAGATGGAGTTGTTGAAAGGGGTTTGTTTTTTATGTTGTAAAATTCTTTAATAAAAAAGCATTCTCCTTCAAAGTCAGTAACAACATTTTGACAGAATCATAAAATTTTAGAGTCAGAATTAGAGATTATGCTATACAACCTAGGCATTTGTCAGGCGAGGTCATGGGGTTTCCCAAGAATCTTTGGCGTTTGTCTCTGAGCATAACAGCAGTTGTTGCAGTGTTAGTAGAATTTTGAGTACTTGGCTACATGTTTTAGTCTTTGTTGTTTTTATTAAGTCCATTGCTGTAGTCACTTTGACAGTCCATCTTACTGAGGGTCATCTTTTTCATTTTCCCTACTTTATCAAGCATGATATTTCTCTAGAACTGGTCTGTCCTGATAAAATGCACAAAGTATGTGAGATGAAGTCTCCTTTTTTGAAAAAAAAAAAATTAATTGTGATTTTAACCTAAGTTTACTGAAAGGTTGGGTTTTCATGCATTCATTGTACATTTTCCTCCCTTCCTCTTTGAGAAATGTTATGTTATATGAAGATACTCTGTTTTGTTTTAATAGCAGGAAAATTAATATATCATTTTTTTCTTCTTACTAAACTTACTTGATTTCCCTTCTACTGTCTGTAAACTTATTAAAAGATACTTTGCTACATATCAGGGTAAATATCTTCCAGTTTTAATAGTTTTGCTCAGCTTTAAAAGTATGTGTACCAGAAAAGAATGCTCAATATTAAAACAACTATGAGATATCATCTCACCCCAGTAAGAATAGCAAAGTTTAACAGAACAGCAAATCTCAAATTCTGGTGAGGTTTGGAGAAACTGGAAAACTTACTCACTGTTGGTGGGAATGTAAAATGGTGCAACCACTATATAAGACTGTATGGCACTTTCTTAAAAAGTTGTAAATAGAAATACCATTTGACCCAGCAATTCCACTCCTGAAAATTAATTTACCCTAAAGAAACCATAACTGCCACCCGAGCAGATACATGCACACACATGTTTATTGCGTCTTTGTTTGCAACAGCAAAGAGTTGGAAACAACCCAAGTGCCCATCAACAAACGAATGGATAGAAAAGCTCTGGTATATTCACACCATGGAATACTATGCAGCATTGAAAATTAAGGAGCTCATGAAATATTATGCAAAACGGATGACCCTGAAGGACATTATGCTGAGTGAAATAGCTCAGTCACGAAAGGACAAATATTGCATAGGGTCACTGTTGTAAAATGGGACTGACATCGGGGTTGAGGGTAGGCAGAGAAGGAGGGGAGGAATGATGTGTACTACATTGAAACAGATGAGGGAGAGAACTGTTTTAAAGGGATATATGATTAAGTATTATTGTCATGACAGGAGTGCAGAATGAAGGCTGCATAGTTAAGTGGACTTGGGGGGAGGGATTGCATAACAGTGAAAGAGTTTTTCTTTTTCTTTTCAAGGAGAAGAGTGAATTGGGGGGAGGGGGCAGGCAGGGAGAAAAGTGCAACAATGAATGACTGGAAACCCTAAGTCTCTGTAAAATTTCATTTAAATTAATAAAAAAATGTAAAAAAATATTCATTAAGTAACTGATAATAATTAGCTGTCTGATAATTTTCTTTTCTTTGAAAATTTTTAGAACTTTTTGAAAATGAACATGTACGTATAGGGCAGAAAGGTAAGCTTTTGATTATATTTATTGCAATTTCTGAAAAATCAGATAGTCCTATGTTAATGTCAGAATGTTGCACTCCAAACTGAACTTTCATCTGTGAAAAGTGAATACCCAAAGCAAGAATAACATTTAATCATGTAGGTAATATAGTGAGGTCTTAATAAAGAGGGGAAATGTATCAGTCAGTTAGGCTTTACCAGTAAAAGTCAGATAAAGACGTACACAGTTGGTTTGTTGAAAGAAAAATAATAAATGCAGGCGCACATTCCCCAATCTTTTCAGCAATAGAATTTCATTTTAAAATCAAGGCGGCTGGTTCTCCCTTCAGTGCACCCACGTCGCTCTCATTAGTGTTAATGGGAATATGCTCTTGCATCAGGAGAAAGTGTATCTGAGCGCTTCCTGATGCCTGATCACAATGGAAGGACTTAATCACCAAGGCAGCTTTTAGTGTTTTCTGGAATAATGTTTCCCTATCTTTTGAAGACATTACCCCCCCCCTTTTATTTTCGTAAATCCTGTATTGTCTTTGGAATGTGTGGTGCAGATAAGTCTTTGTGTTAGGTCGAGATTTCTAGGGCAATTAGACTGTCTGATACCAAACTCCTTTGCTCAATTTTTCCAAAGCAAGCTGCTTTAAAAGACTCGCTTTGTGTGGCAGGATCAGCCAGGGTCTGGATCTCTCAAATCTCGGGCCTTGGGGAATCAGCGTTTCCTTGAGGGCACCTGGCAACAACAGCAGACACACCGTGCATGAAAGCATGTGCTGCTTCTTTTATGTAATGTGGCACCTTTATTTTTTCTGCTAATGTCTTTTTCATTTAGGACAAGATATTTCTCCATGCTTTTTTTAAATAAGAAAATAAGACAGTCTGTTACACAAACAGCGACAGCTGTTTTGCCTGCTTTTTTCTTCCTTCCTTTCTTGTCTTTATGTCCAGTATAAATAGCTGATATTTTTCTTAAAGAGAATAGAAATGAAAACAAAAGGCCACCACGTCAATTTATTAATGTAGCCGCTTAAGTATTTTTGGCTTTCTTAAAGAAGTTATCAGATCTTTTTTGGTTTTAGTGCTTTAAAAGTTCTTGTTTTCTGTTCATTTTGGCAGTTAAGTAATAAGCTACTCAACAGAATAGGCATTTAAAATCCTTGGTAATTTGAATAATTTGTAGCCATAACACTTCACCGTAACATATTACTTGAAAGTACTAGAACATTCATGGTGTAGTAGAATATGCCTAGAAACTTTAGAGTTTTTATAGCTATGAGTTCACTTGATCATAGAATCCAAAATTTATCACATATATGCATCACTAAGTTCAGACTCATAAAGTAAACTCAAGATGCCTGCTTTAACACCTTTTGTCAGTCTACGTGGGGGATAGAAGAGCTCAAGGCTTGTAACATAAAGGGCTGTAAATAGGGGCTACATCAAAATTCAGACTCTTAAAAGAGGTTCTTAAGAAATGACATTATATAAGCTATCCCCAGAGATTTTTTTTTCATAAAAGATTTCAGTGTTGTTTCTTACTTCTGGATTTTTCTGATGTGATTTTAATTTACTTTTGACAGTTCTCGCAGAACAAGATAGTGCTGCGGCTCAACAGTATGTCAGACAAGGAAGCCCCACAGCACTGAGAGCTGAATTGTGGACTCTCATTCTGAACATTTCCAGTCAGCCTGAGGTAAGGAGGAAAAAACCCTCAAAACACATTGCTTTTGAATTGGAACCAACTCACGGCTGACCCTCCAGCAGGTTTTCAGAGGCTGTAAATCACACGGGAAAGGAGTGTTTCTTTTTGCTTCCCCGCAGAGCAGCCAATTGATGGAAACCACCTATCTTTGTGTTGACAGCATACCTCTTTACCTGCTGAGCCAAGGAGGAAAAAAAGGATGGGCCAAATTCGAGTTGTTGATGTTTATTTTTCAAAGATCTGATGTGTCCACATCACAGACCAATTTGTTGATAGCCTACTGATTTAACCTTGGTGCTACTAGGGCTCTTATATTCATTATATTTATGTCTTGGTTTGATATTCACCCCACTTCTTATTTTTAAAATTACTTATTTGGAGTTCAAAAATAAGGTTACCAAATGCTTTGATTACTGTGTGCTTGGAAATTTTTGTTATTAATAATTTATTATGTGGCTGTGTGCTATCAAATCAGAACTGACTGATAGCTGACCCTCCAGTGTGATTTCAGAGGCTGTAAAACTCAATAGCAACTTATTTTTGTTGTGGTTGGTTTTGGGTTTTGTTTTCTTTCTGTTTGATGCTTAGGGCTGCTCGTTGGAGGCAAGGATTCTGAGGCTTTGTCTGACATACTTTGGACATGCTACAAGGAGGGACCAGTCCTTAAAGAAAGACATCATGCTTGGAAAGGAGGAGAGATGGAGAAAGAGAGGGAGACCAATGATGAGATAGATTGATACAGTGACTGGGGAAACGAGGATAGGTGTGTCAGAGATGGTAAAGTTGGCACAGGATAGAGCAGGTTCAGGGCTTTTATACACAGAGTCATTATGAGTCGCAAGCAACTCGATGACACATAACAACAACAACTTAGAAGTGTACCAATCCTTGCCCAAGAAGATGTAATTCCTTCTCCCTGATCTAACTTGTAGATAACTTGCTGGTTTTGTTGTTGTTCTATGACATTAAATTGACTACAACTCATAGCAGCCCTGTGAACAAGAGCTTAACGCTTTGCACTATCCTGTACCGACTTCATAGTTTCTGCCATGCTTAGATTCTTTGCTGTAGCTGCTGTGTCATTCCACCTGGTTGAGGGTCTTCCTTTCTTTCACAGACTCTACTTTTCACAGCATGCTGTCTTCCCAAGGACTACTGCCTTCTAACAACATGCTTAAGCTGAGTGAGAGAAACTTTCACCATCCATCTATCTGAGGAGCACCTGCTTGTACTTATTCGAAGACAGATGTGTCTGTTCTTTTGACAGTACATGGTTTATTCAGTCCTTTTTGCCAACACCAGAGTTCAAAAGGCATCAGTTCTTCTTCAGTCTTCCTTATATGTTGTCCAGCTCTCTTTGACCTCCATATGAAGTGGAGATTGTGGTAATGGTGCAGGATAGGGAAGGTACCACTCTGTGGTTCCTAGGGTTCATTGACTCTTAGCTGACTTACTAGCCCCTAACAGAAACACAAACATAGGAGCTTAAAAGGACTGCTTTTATGTATTTTCTTTGTCACAAATCCCTGTGTCTCCAAAAGATTCACATTTGTCAACATTCACATTAACCACTGATCGTCCATCACTTGGCCATCCTGTGGTGGCTTGCATATTGCTGTGATGCCGGAAGCCAGGCCACCAGTATTTCAAAGACTAGTGAGGTCTTCCACAACAGGCAGGTCTCAGAAGACCTTCCAGACTAAGAAGCAGGACTAGCCATCCATTTTGGAGACAATCTGTTGTCAAGAACTTCTTTAAAGTACTGAAAAGCAAAGACAACAGTTTAAAGACACCCTTGCCAATGCTCCTTTTCTAGTGCACATAAGCATCTCAGATTCAGTTGTCTGGCTACCTTTCTCAGTGCTGCTGCCACTCAGGTGCCACAGTCAGAAATGTGAGGTAATTTCCTTCTTCATTTCTACTTGATTCCTCATCAGTTCCTCATTAATTATTCCTCATCAATTTCTGCTTGATTTACCTCCTAAATATAGATTCAATTCAATTGCTTCTCTATATTCATGCTACACTCACCCTGTTGCAGAACGCTATCATCTCTTGTCTGAATTAAACAACTCTCTACCTGCTTCTTGTCTTCAGCCTTGTTCCCTGCAAATCCTTTGTCAACCCTGCTTTGAAAACTGAAAGCTGGTATCTCAACTGTCCTTCTTAAAACCTTGTAATGATCCATTATTTTAAACTTCATAACATGCCTTTTTTTTGTATGGCCACAATCTAGACAAGAGGTGCGTTTCTGGGTGGGCTAGGAGAAGGCAAGGCTTAGGGAGAAGAAAATATACAATAATGAATAAAAAATAAGTAAATGTTTAAAAAGAGGGATAAAAAATCCCATGCTTTTCCTTTGTTCTGCTCTTTGTTCCATCTGCCTAAAAACTTCTCTTTGTGCCTTTCTCCTCCTCTGACAAGCTCTTGCTTGTACTTCAAGTCTTTTTCTCCAGAAAGCCTTTCCTGGCACCCATATGTGAATTACTGTTGTTGGTAGGTGCCTCTTATGTTTTTCATATGTGAAAAAATATGCCCATATATGTGAGATAAAGCTTTATCATCTTTGCCTCTAAGGAACACTCTTCCTGCACTCTCTCCAAGAAATATTTGGTTATTTTTTTGACTGTCCATGAGATCTTCAATACTCTTTTCCATCAACACAGGTCAAAGGTGCCAATTCTTTTCTGTCATCCTTATTCATTGTCCAGTTCTCAGATGCATAGCAAGTATTTGAAAAGACCATGGCCTGCATTGGGGACCTTTCAGTCTTCAAACTAACATCATTGCTCCTTGGCTAACATCATTGCTTACTGCATCATTGCCACTTTAGGCAGCTCTCTGACAGTGTACCCATCAGTGTCCAGTGCCTCAAATCATCTCATGAGATGGTTTTTAAATTCAGTTGGGATGGGTTTAAGGTCATATTTTGGTTCTGGTGGACTTGTTTGCATTCTCTTCCCCAATATAATATGCCCAGTAGAACATAGAAAAGCCAAAACAAAGGGGAGAAATGCTGAAGTAAGAGAAAGAAAGATTTCAAAGGGCAGCTGGAGAAGGCAGAGTGTTATAGTAAAATGTACAAAGACCTGGAGATAGGAAACCAAAAGGGAAGAGCACATTTGGCGTTTCTCAAACCAAAAGAACTTAGGAACAAAGTCAAGCCTCAAGTTTCAATAATGACAATTTCTACTGAATATCTCTTGGACTACTACTGAAAGAACAAGCCGTTTCAGAGAACATACAAATAGGATGCTTCTTAGAGGCAAGGATGGTGAAACTTAAATTTCATCTCTCATGCTTTGGGAATGTTGTATTCTCTGGTGCTAAAAGTGTAGGTTCTTTTGTTTTTCAGAGGTTGCCTTTTAATAATCATAATTTATTACTCATTTTTACTGTTACATAGCTTTACTAACAGAGTATATGTGGAGTACTGTTAAAAAATATCCTGTTTTGTTACTGATAATGTTACATTTTATGAATGCATATGTATCCTATAGTATAAACTTTATATGTTAATATAAAATGATTTAAAATTAGTTGTAACAGTATAATTTTTATTATCCTGTCCATACTTTTCTTTCATTTTATATGAAAAAAAATGACACCACAAACTATTAAAACAGGAGAAAGCTCGACGGACTGGGAGTTAGTACTAGTCTATGCAGGAGTGGTATCCACTTCCTAAATAACATTCCTCCGGAAACCCTATGAACTTTGATAAATGTCTGTAGTTGTAGAGGGGCTTCAGGACTTTTGTTCATTGAGTCTCTGTGAGTCATACTTGAATTGAAGGCAATCAACAACAACAAGTCTCTCATTAGTTCTCTAATCTTCTCTAATGCAATTCATTTGACTTGACCTCATTATGTGCAGAATACAAGAAGTGCATTAGGTAGTTCTAAGGTCCTTTCCAACTTCTCTGATATGTGTTTCTTTTTTTCTTCTTCTGAATGACTGAAAGGAGATTTTTGTCCGTAACACTATTATAACATAGGCTTAAAGTTATGGATGTTAATTTTTGGCAGCATCTTAAAGATGCATTTCTTTATAGGGGCATGCAGCAAAATTAGAATTTTAATGAACTTACTTGTATTAAAGTATTTATTAATTTTATGTTCCTAATCATGAAGGGCATTTATTATTATAGTTAAGACCATTAAAAATGCAATTATAAGCACATTGTTACTTAGACTGGTAATTAATATTAAGTTCTTCATGACACTTATAATTTGCAATTAATGCACAAATGAATGCCTTCAGTTTGCAGTATATAATACCTACAGAATTATTTTTAGTTTACTTCAGTTTTTTTGTGTCAAATATAAATGTAAACGAAACACTTTAAAATTAAACAATAGTAAATAAAAATCTCTAAAAATGTTCTAAATAGGACATACTTGATGTGTTGTTTTTGCTAGGTGCCATCAAGTTGTGTACAACTAATAATGACCCTGTTGTTGCTGTTTTTATGTGCCGTCGAGTTGTTTGCAACTCATAGCGACCCTATGTACAAGACCCTAAACCCTGCTCTATCCTGTGTCAACCTCACTTTCTCCAACACACCTACTCCCACCACCCCAATCACTGAATCACTCCATCTCATCGAGGTTCTTTGTCTCCTGTGCTGTCCCTCCACTCTCCCAAACATGATGTCCCTTCAAGGACTGGTCCCTCCTTGCAACATGCCCAAAGTACGTCAGACAAAGCTTTAGAATCCTTGACTCCAAGGAGCCGCCTATGAACAACAAATTTGAATACTGTCCCCAACACTCTTGAGCCCATTGCTACAGTCACTGTATCAATCCATCTCATTGAAGGTCTTCCTTTCCTTTACTGATCCTCCACCTTTCCAAGCATGACCCTGGTTGCACTTTTTCCAATAAACATTTGTTTGTTCTTTTGGCAGTCCATGAGATACTTAGCACTCGTCTCCAACACCATAACTCAAAGGCATTGTTTCTTCTTCTAGCACCCACATTCATTAGCCA